GGGAAAGGGACATAATGGGCCAGATTCTGCTACTCTTTCTCGTATTCGATAGCATAATTTTAGGGTAGTCCTATGAAATCAATAAGACTGAAAAATATTTGTACTAATAGGTGGGATTTTCAATACTGGTGGCCCAAGTCAGCTGCCGGCGGACTCAGTAGTTAAACCCCCGCAGACTTTTATGGGAGCAGGGCTAAGCCCACACTACAGGCTTTTGAACAATCCTGCCCACACTGTCATTGAACACCTACATCCCAGGAGCCAGGAGCCTCCCTCTCTTCAGTTCCTGGCACTTTCATCATCCAACCAAGTAGGTTCTCAGTTTATAATTCAGTACTGCTAAACATGAAAAGTTACATTCACTTTCAAACACGCTGTTAAAAGCTCCCCATGTACGTCAATGGAAGCTGGGAGCAGTCACATCAAGCAAACTCAGCAGTGAATTTCCTAACAGCAGAGAAGTTACAAGGTTTTGTAAACACAACAGAAGGGGAGCAAAAAAATTCACCAATGCTCTGATGGCCTAAGCATTTTCCCATCTCCCTCCACAGCAATGCATCATGAGAACTGTTTAGAGTGTTCCCCTCCCTTGCAAGGAGACTCTCCAGCCAAATAAAGTCAAGAATTTGTTTCTCTTTTTTGAGTGAGTGCAAGATGGGGGGGAGGGAGGAGGAAGAGAGTTTCTCACTTAGCTAGGAGATAGCAGTATGAAAAATCTCTGTGCTTTATTTTAAGCTACCCTAAAACATTGGTTCCTGCATGAATGCCTCACAAAAGCAGGACTTAGTCCCAGGCAGTTAAATAAAGGCTGAAATGAAACTGCTGCCCTTGGGAAGAGCTGCTGGATCCCAAATGTAAATCACTTAAGTTTTTATCTTGTATTTAAAATATTTATTTTAACTAAACAAATCACTGCCGCAATGTTATTTATGAGGGTGTTATCAGGGCAGAGCAGGGAAAGAGCATGACACTCCTTTATCTGTTGTCTAATTGTTACACTGTGCAGAGTGGAGATGGAGTGGCTGGACTCTAAGTTGCTTAAGCTCCCATCAAAGGGATGTGAGGCTTGGCTTGCATATAGCACTTGATATTTCAGCAAAAGATTTGGAGGGCCAGCGCACTCATATTTGACTCTATAGTCTGGAACTCCTTGTGCTTTCCATCTGAAGAAATCCACGGAGCACTGGATGGCTCCAGAGATTGCTGACAAGAGAAGGGTTTTTTTTTTGTCTCCATTGAAGTAACCAGTCAACACATGGCCCAGGGGCAATAGTAAACAAATGCTGCTACCATCTGATAAGGGAAATAAGTCTTGCGGAGTCAGTCTGGTTCCTAGTGGGAAAACATCCATACTTTGAAACCAACCACCCCATTAGCAGCTGGCGTAGGAAGGGAACAAGCCACGTTGACTGAATTCCTGCCCACCTTTAGAAAGCACTGAGCAGTGATATGCCTTTGTAGAATGATATAGAGAACTCATGACCCCTGTTTTTATTGAGAATGCTCTGAAAACAGTTTTTTTTTCTTTGAGGCAGTCAATCTACAAGCACTCACCAGGAGCACATTAATTAAAAAAGCTAATGTTTCTGTATCGTTGCTTTTCCCCACACCTTTCTTGGGGTAACTGAATAAGAAACCCTGCATCCCCCACTCAGGTGCAATTTTGATTTTCTTTCCATTTTTGTGTTTGAATAAGAGTCTTCAGAATTAACTCTGCTGCATTTTTAACTGCAGCAGTTAAAGTCCCGCATGGAACCTGACTGCTCTCACCTGAGCCAGCCCATAGTCGACTTCAGCAATAGCAGGCTGAGCGCCCTGAAGAGCTTCTCTTTAACACAAGACTCTATTTTGACACTTACCAGTGATGTTTTTCAGCAAGGGCCACACATCACTGACACCAATCACTGAGGACAGAGGAGTCCTTCAAGAAAAAGTCTGCTCTGAGCAGCTTGTATTTCCAAGGTTTTTTTTTTCCTGTCTCCCTTTTCCGTTACATCAGTTCTACATTTCTTAGGGCATCTCTATTTCTGCTTCTCATGCCATTGCTGGTTACATGGCAGACTAAACAGCAGTGAATCCATCAGCTAAACATTCATTGACTGCCCAGCTGGAATTTCAGAGACGCTTATGAGAGACTGAGGGCTTGTGTCCTTTAGAGCTGGGGAAAAAAAGTAAAATGAGGGGCTGGAATTTTTGTCCTTTTCTAGTTTTGTGAAAAAATTAAAGGGAAAAAAGTTTTAATTCTTTAGGGGAGTTTTCTCTCCGAAGGAAGGGAGGCAGAGCTGAAATGGCAGAAGTACCTGCACATTAATCCTTCCACACAGACAAGGCTTGATGAAGAGAGCTCCCATGAAGCTCATTTCCATAGCTCCTGCCATGGGTTTTCCTGCAGCCAGGGCCCTCTACTGCTGAAGAGGAGAAAGCAGGGTTTGCCTCTTAAATGGATGCAGTCCTGGGGGGGCATTGGGCTGGTAGTGCAGGAGGTTGAGGTCTTGGGGTGTGTGTAGATGAAATGGGGGCCCTAAACTGAAGTGGTGGGTTTTTAAAAACACTGCTTCAATTTAGGGCCCTTTAAACCCCTGTGTCATGCACACACCCAAACTTATCTGCCTCTCTGGTGGTGGGGAGGGGATGGTGAGCTGCCAGTGGGCAGCGTGGTCCTGGTGCTTCCCTCCACAGCAGCAGCAGCTCCCCCCCAGGTGGCACTCGCCCTCAGGCACCCAGCTCGGTTGGTCCCGGGGGGCACTGCAGCCATGGAGGGAAGCACTGGGCCCCTGCACAGCTCAGGCAGACAGGCAGGCTCCATGGAAAAAAAAATGGTCGGGCTCGCTGATTTTCTTGGGTGGAGCCTGCCTTCCCGGGCTGCTGCCAGGCTGCCTGCATTGGCTTCCTGCAGAGCCGCAGAGCTGCAGGGAGCCCGGTGCTTCGCTCCGTGGCTGTAGGGGCAGCAAACTAAAACACCCCCAAGTCATTTAAAGCGCATTATGCTGCCAAAGTGGCTACAGTGGCTGGTATTACTGTGCAATATGCTGCCGATGCGTGCAAACACCAACACCATTAAAGCGGTGCAAAAACATTTAACCTGCTTTAAAGTGTTGTGCACACATGCCCCTCGTTTCATCTATACATGGCCCTAGCTTTTTATCTACAGAAGAGGCATTACACAGGGGATTTGGGGCTTTCTGGAATTGTCCCTCATTTCAGGTTTTGGAGTTAATTGGCAGATCAAGAACATAGGAATGAAAGAAAGCCAAGGCAAGGTGCCAGGCCAAGGTGGAAGCTCCATTGCTCATTTGAGAACACAGACCTGAACTAGAGGCACATTGTCCCATCTCTGCTCTTTCTGACTCTGTTGGCCATTAAATTCACAGATATGGTGCCACCTGGGTTCAAAACACCCAAGTAACCTTGTCCACCTCTAGACACATTTTTCTTTGAAGGCACCATATGGTATGTGGAACACTGTATCCTATTCTCACTGGCAATCTATTATTTGGCTTCCAGACAGAAAACTGCCAGGCTGCTATGACTAACCAAGTATCCATCATATGTGTGGCTTGGCTACAGGCACACAAAGTTCACCTTCACTTTGGCTGTTTTTTCATACAATAAGGTTCAGATTCAGTTATGTTCATATCAACCTGGAATAATTCCATCAAGGTCAATGGCATTATTCTGGATTCACATCAGCATAACTGAGATCACAATCTGGCACTACATGTTTTCAGCCTAGCACTTTTAAAGCATTCTCCAGTAAGAAGCAGGAGACTTTCCAGATGGGAAATTGGTCCAGATATAGATGGCCCCTGGGTCTGGCCATTGAATTAGAACATGGATTAGAAAATCTATTTTATTTTATTTTATTATTTAGTTGCAGGCAGGGGCTAAATGACTTCTCGGGGTGTCAGAATGTCCTTACCTGGAATGGTGTTTGGACTTGCTGAGAGCTTTGGTAATAGCAGATGGGGTAGAGCGTCTTCTTTGGACTATGGGTTTCATCTTCTATGGGAGAAAGGTACATCCAGTTAGTATTGTCAGTGCCATCTCTGCATTCAGCTTACCATTGCATCCCTGTATACCACATCCTTCTTTTTATATCACTTTTTCTTTTATCTAGTTGCCACTCATGGAACCTAGACTTAGAAAGCCAGATGTGTTTCCAGAAGCGTTTCACTTTCTTTTGCTTGATATTAAAATACTCAACAGCTCTCGCATACACCCAAGAGACTCAAAATTTTCCTAACTGGAAATATTGCCAGTTTTCACAGCTAAAAATCAAAGTGAATTGTAGGAGTAATGGGATGAAATCGGCCAGAGGAAAATTTAGGCTGAAGTTCAGGAAAACCTTCCTAACAGTCATGTCTAGCAGACAGTGGAATAGTCTGCTAAGGAAAGTGATGGAAACCCCATTTAAACCTGGACTGGACAAAACCATGGAGAGTATATAGCACTGGAGGGAGCAATCTTTTATTGGCTGGAGTAATGGATGGGATTACCTAATAGGTTTTTTCTACTGCTAATTTCTATGATTAACAGAGCCTGTTATTAACCATTCTCAAGGTTGTGTAGCCTCAGAATGCCCATCATTTTTAACTGGTTGAACCTTAAGATTTCTGCCTGCCCCACAAATGATGCGACTGCAATGACTATCCGTGTCAGTTATAATGGGAAGGCTTCCAAGTAAATACATTTGTGTGTAGGTCACAAGTCTTCTTTTATTTTTCAAAATAAATGTTGTGCTGGAGAAAGATGCCAGATTTACGACTCTTGGGAACAAATCATGAAATTAACTGGGCTACTCCCTGTGAGGAAGAGTTGCAGGTCCGGCTAAATAGTTCAGCTTCAGTATTTACAGCATCTGCCTGTGTTTAGTATTCAAATACCCGAAAGCTGAAAGCACATAGAGTATTGTAGAGCTTCGGACATCTGCACTATTCAGTCAACACACAGGATTCCTCAAAAGAAAAACAAGTTTTGATTAGCCAGTGAGGACTTTCACAAGCTCTTTGCTGGAGTTTTCCAGCCCTGACCATCTAACTGGTATCAACCCTTCCCTTTGGGGAATCTATATGCTGAATTTCTATAGAGTTACTGTATTTTCCATGATTGGGTGCATATCATTTATATATAACCCAAGATGTAAAAAGTATTGACTGCAGGAAAGGAATTGAATGATTTACTATACAGTCATCAGGAAAAAGAACCTCTAGCTCATCTATATAGGAAGTTCTTTTTGACAGCACTAAGTATTTGCGTATGCAGACAGTTTGTTCCTAGTAGGAGAGGAAATGGAAAGGGTACAAAAGAATACAGAGGTCATAGAGTCAAATGACAAAGAAGCTGGCCTTGCTATCAATATCAGCAAAATTAAATCTCAGGATCAGAGGAAGATAATAGGCCTGTGCAAAATTTCGTTGGCTGTTTTGTTTTGACACTGATTTGACTCATTTTGAGCTCGAAACAACGAAATCAAAATGAAACGAAGGGCTTTGAAACAGCCTCAAAACGAAATGAGGGCAGTCAAAACTTTTTGAAAATTTTGAAACGTTTTGAGTTTTGAAGCTGAAGCTGGGCTTGCCTGCAGGGAAACAGAAAGTAAGGAGAGGGAGGGGGAAGCGGGGAGAAGGACTGCTCTGATTTTGACTGTGACAGTTTGGCTGCCTGAGATGCTGCTGGTGCTACTGTGCTGCTTACTAAGTTATTACCTGTTGTCATTTAAAGTGGTGGACTGGACTGAGGCTGTAGGGAAGGAGGAGACCTCATTGGGGATCACTACCATGTCATGTAGAGGCCCCAGCGCCTTAACACACACGAGATGCTGCTGGTGCTACTGTGCTGCTGCTCACTAAGTTATTATTTTACCTCTTGTTATTTAAAGTGGTGGACCAGCCTGAGGCTTTAGGGGAGAAGGAGGCTGTACAGTGTGCCAGTGAGGGCACATCTTAGCACGCACACAGTGTCACACACGTCACAAGTTTTGCTTGTCAGCAGCCTGAGGTGTAGTTTCCAAGAAAGCCCTGCATCTATCTCCTTGAAAGCTGGCAGGCTTCATGGCCTCAGCAAGGGCTACCATGCCTGTTGTTTTCATCCCCCTGTGCCTTCATACTTACAAGTGACATGAGTTTTGTTTTCAAGATTTTGAGGTGCAGTTTCTCAGAAACTCCTGCACCTATCTCCTTAAAACTTGGCAGGCTTCATGCCCTGAGAAGGTGCTACCACCTCTGCTGTTTCCATCCAAATCAGGAAAGAAATGACAAAGTTATAGGCAGTTTTGTGCTTCTTTGTTATAGCCTATGGGCGAAATGTCGAAACAGCAAAACAGTTCCAACAAAACAAAACAGGACAGTGATTCGAAATGAAATGAAACTTGAAACGATACACTGTCCCATCAAAATAGCAAAATGGAAGTCGACATGAAATGGTGCTGTTTCATACAGCCCTAGAAAATAAGGATAGGGAATGACAATGTGGAAAAGGTAGAGAAATTTAAATATTTAGGAACCATAATCAATGGGGACAATTAAATAACTGAAGAAATCAAGGCAAGAATTTACAGTACTAAAATTTGCTCATGGATCCTGCATAAAATAATAGCATCAAGGAAAAATCTCAAGAAACCTTAAAATCCAGCTTTATAGTACAATTGTTTAACTTGTTCTTTTATATGGTGTGAATCCTGTACATTGACAAAGGAAAATGGAAAACGACTGCAAGTCTTTGAAAACAATGTGCTAGGGAAACGTAGCTGGTGCAATACAAGAAAACAGAATGGGTGAGAACATGTAATCAAGAGCTTGTGGACTTTTACAAAAGACCTCATGCCTTGAGCAAGATAAGAGCACAGAGATTGAAATGGGCAGGGCAAGAACTACAGAGAGAAGGCATGAGAAGCAGATTTTGGACATAAAGGGGGAAGGTATTAGACCCTGATGGAGACCAAGGCAAGGATGGAAAGATAACATACAAAGTGATCTGGAAGGGATAGGCAAAGATGAAACAAGGCAGAAGGGGCTTGTGCAAGACAGGGGGAAATGGAAGGCTCTAGTTAAGGTGGTTATAGACCCTTGAGACCAGAGAGAGATATAGGAGCTGTGTCTATATGCAGCTCTGATTCATCCAAACTGTTCACAGGACATTTTCCCATGAGGTAACTCCAGGATAACAGTTATCAGGAATAGCACTTTTTCAACATATCAAGATTCTGGTTTTTCATGCTGTCTCCAAGGATGCAGAGGAAAGTTTGTTATATCCTCTTTATTTTATATAGTAAAAAATAATAATACATATTTATTTATACAGAGGCAGCAGTATGCTAGACAACTCTCAGTCATGCAGGAAGATCAGATACTTGCTCTAAAGACTGAGCAATTTAAACACGGTCACATATGAGACCACTCTACTATCTCCCTCAAGCACAACAGTGCTGCTGCCTTCAGAGCCTTCCTCAAGCTTGTATAGCCTTAGGATGCTTCAGGATATAGGCATCCCCTCACATAGAGACCAAACACATTTTGTCCAGGTGCACAAAGAGACATTTCTGATGGATCTAAACCGAGGTGCTCAACCCTTGGTGTATGAGCCATATTTGGTCTCTGGCACCAGGCCACCCAGCTCCTTGTCACTTTGGAAATTTGGCAGTGGGTTAGCAATGGTACCACTCCTCTGCTATCAAATTTCCAGACTTCTGGGGGGACCTGGGCCCAGTGCGCTAGACTGTGTGCCTGATTTTGGTGTGCAGGGCTGGCTGGGGGATGGCACCAAGCCCCAGGGCCCAATCCTAGTGGGTAGAACAGCACTGTGCCCCAGGGTCTGATCTGGGTTTGTGGGGCTTGATCCTGGCACGTGGGGCTCGATCCAGCCTGTGGACTAGCCCCATGCCACTCATCTGGCCTATGGGGCCAAAAGCTTGGGCACCACTGATCCAAACTATACTTATCACTATAGTACTTGTGTTTCTTATTGAGTTAAATAGGTCCACAGTACAGCCTAATCAGTGTGATTTCATTTTTTTCCCCTTTTTCCCCTTAATGGGAGAGAAAGTTGTATTTGTGTGTGTTTGTATGTGTGCACGTGTGTGTTTGTGTGTGCGTGTGTGTGCATATTACCATGCACAAAAAGATTATTAAGGCTGCAAAAGCAAACACTCAAAAGTTAGAAAATGCCAGAATTAAGATTGCCTGTGGAACCTTAGGTTGTCTTTGGGTGTATGTATTATAATATCGTCTTTAATGAGATAATCACATGCCTTTTTAACGGAATGACCTGTTTCATTCAGTGCACAGAATGGACAGCGTCTAATACTTTTTTATCTTTATCACCATGCATAGGCCCCAGCCTTATGTACTATACATTATTCACTAAACACAGA